GGCATTGCGGGCGGCCGAAGCAAGGCCAAAGCGATCCATGCGGTGCTTAAGTTCGCATAATGTCCTCCAGCCGCAGCCCCAAAGTCATCATTTTATGAACGACAACGCCTTGTTCATTGAAATAGTAGCCAAAGGATTCGGCTACGGCTCCTTCCGACCGGATCTCCTCCACGGCGGCGGGATCCAGCCTTCTGCGGCGGGTCATCTCCATCGCGTCCCCGATGCCGTGCATGATGATGCGGCAGTGCCTGATCGCCTGCACGATCTCCTGGATGTTGCGGTCCTGCACCAGCGACTGATACGCTTCATCGCTCAGGAGGTCCGGCACATGCAGCAGCCGGTACTGCGCGCCGACGCGCTTGGCCATGGTGGATGCGATCGTATTCGCCTGAAACTCCACGCTTTCGCCAAGTCCGCCCCTAGCTGGCACGAACCAGCTGTTCTTCATCGGTACGGCCGCCTGCGGCGTCAACTGCTCCGCCACTTCGGCGAGCGTTGAGCCTCCAGTCACCGCTACGGTGTCCCCTTGGTTCATGACGCCAAGCAGCGCTTTGGCACCCGCGCGTCCCAAGTCACGCTTCGTGAGCGGCGACGATTCGCAATCCCCGGGCACGACCACGACTTTGCGCAAGCCGTACGTCTGGCGGATCTTCTCGCCCAGATCATTGAGGCCGAACAGCACTTTCACCATCGGTTCCATCTGTTCGAGCAGCTTGCTTCCCGCCTCACTGACCCTCATCCCAGAGCTCTCGATCTCAATCAGGCCCTGGGACTTGAGAAGATCCGTCTCGGCCCGCAGCACCCGCTCGGTCATATGCAGGGATGCAGCGAGCGTTCTCCGGCCGATCAGCTCCGACAGCATGATCTGATGAAGAATGGTATATCTGGTCTTGAGAACGTCCACGAGATCAGGCAGAAGCTGCTTTTGTATCTCTAATATATCCCGCATTTCTTTCCACTCCTGCAACTTCGCTTCCCTCTCTCCCCTGGCCCCAAAATGTCCCGGGTCAACGTTTTAAGTCCCACCACTATTCTACTCAATAATGGCGCTGGTTGCAAGTAGTCCACTGACTATAATTCACATCAGCCTTTCCTCCTATACAGCATTTTCCTGATTCAAAAAATTTAATAACTTAACCCTTGCATTTTGAGGCAAGCTATCATATAATAACTCTTGCTATTGAATTTTGCGCCCGTGGTCCAATGGATATGACGTAGGCCTCCGAAGCCTGAGATCGAGGTTCAATTCCTCGCGGGCGCGCCATTTTTCTTCAATAGAAGAGAACGCAGAACGGCAACCGTTCTACGTTATGTTTTTAACCAAACGTACCACAGCCAATCAGATGGCTATTTTTTTTACCTTGAGTTTGACTTTCTTTGACTTTTTGTTTGAAATTGTTTATCATGTGGTTAATACGGTAACAGTATGTATAGAATGACCTATTTTGAGCCAATTAAGGGAGGTTTTCCACGTGAGTTATATTCCTATGGTCGTCGAACAAAGCAACCGGGGTGAACGGGCTTACGACATCTATTCCCGTTTGCTGAAAGACCGCATCATTTTCCTGGGCACCGAAGTCAATGACGTGGTCGCCAATTCTATCATCGCCCAGCTGCTGTTCCTTGCAGCCGAAGATCCGGAGAAAGACATCCATTTGTACATTAACAGCCCCGGCGGATCCATTACGGCCGGTATGGCGATTTTCGATACAATGCAGTTCATCAAACCGGACGTATCTACAATCTGCGTAGGCTTGGCTGCTTCCATGGGCGCGTTCCTGCTGAACGCCGGCGCCAAGGGCAAACGCTTCGGCCTCCCAAACAGTGAGATCATGATCCACCAGCCGCTCGGGGGTGCGCAAGGTCAAGCTACGGATATCGAAATCCGCGCCCGCCGCATTCTGAAAATGCGCGACACCTTGAACCGCATCCTGTCCGAACGTACCGGACAGCCGCTGGAGCGCATCGAGAAAGACACCGACCGTGACTACTTCATGAGCGCAGCTGAAGCGCAGGAATACGGACTGATCGATAAAGTTCTGGAAAGCACTCCAATCCAAGGCGTGTAAATATTAGCGGCTTTGGAACCGAAGAAAAACAGGGAATCTCCCCGAATCGATCCGCTTACGGATCGCCGGGGGGCTCCCTGTTTTTTTGTTTTTCAAGGCGTCAAGCAGGCTGCAAGCGCGCCCATGAACATGATTCTCATAGGCTTGACCACATCAATATATTGATGTATTATTCTAAATACGTGCCAAATATCATCTACATATTGATTTCCATCGGCATAGTATATATAACATATTTTTCCCTCTATCCCAGTCTATTCGTTGTAGTTCTAGGATGAAGGGATTTCATTTTCAGCGAAGCTGAACCATTCTGTGATCACAAGAACAACGACCACGATATGTGGTGTGGTTATCTTCAATGACGTCAAATAGACGTTTTTTTTACGCCCGTGACCACGGCAGAGAACATTATTCAGGAGTGAAGGATCATGCTGATCGTCTATGATTCCAAGACCGGCAATGTCAGACGCTTTATCAACAAGCTGAACATGAGAGCCATTCCGATCGAAGAGCAGGAGCAGGTGAATGAACCTTACGTGCTCGTAACGTATACAACGGGTTTTGGGCAGGTGCCCGAGAAAGTGTCCAACTTCCTGTCGAAGAACAACCGCATGCTTCGCGGCGTGTCGGCCAGCGGCAACCGGAACTGGGGGCCTCGTTTCGCCAAAAGCGCGGATACGATATCGGAGATGTACGATGTGCCGGTCATCACCAAGTTTGAGCTTTCGGGAACGATGCGGGATGCGGAGATTTTCAAAGAGAGGGTGCGGAGCATTGAAGCATATTGAACTCAACAACGAAATTATGCGGCGCGGATCGGACGGTTACTTTCAATTGGAAAAAGACCGGGAGGCGGTTGCCGCCTTTATGGAGGAAGTGGAGCGCGATACAATGAAATTCGG